TGCATTTTCGTCAGCTAAAAGACTGAAACTACAATACTGGAAAGGTAGAAATTCATCTCCTATAATGTAATGGGTTGAATTACACTTTCAGTATTTGAACAGATGTCAGGCAGATGCTGCTCTTGAATGGAAATGGACATAGGAACATAATCAAAGCCAGGCTGGATCAGACCCGAGGTCCATCTAGCCCAACCAGCTGTCCGCACGGGGGCAAGCCAGCTGCCCAAGGATCCCTCCTGCGGGACAGGTGCGAGGCCGCCCCTGCTCCAGCTTCCCAGCAACTGGGGTGTGCAGGCAGGCCGCCTCTGGGGAAGGAGGGAGCACATGGCCAGCAGGGCTAGTAGCCACTGGTCGCCTCCTGCCTCTTGAATCTGCTCAATCCCTTTTTAAAGCCCCCAGATCGGTGGCCAACGCCGCTTCCCATGGCAGCAAATTCCAGTTTTACTAGACGCTGTGTGAAGAGGTACTCCCTTGCATCTGTCCTAAACCTCCCACTCATCAGCTTCATGGAATGACCCCGGGTTCAAGTGTTACTTTCTCATCACCATGCATTTTCTTCACCTCTATCCTGGCTCCCCTTCCTCCCCATTTTTCTGAGTTGAACAGTTCCAGTTGTTGCAGCCGCTCCTCACAGGGGAGCTGTTTCAGCCCCCTGATCATTTTTGTTCCCTTTCTCTGACGTTTTTCCAACTGAATAGCATCCTTTTTCAGGTAAGGACACCAGAACGGAGCACAATATACCAAGTGCAATCATATCAGAGATTTGTACAAGGTGGTTCTATGCTCGGTTCCGTTCCTAATCATGCCTAGCGTGGAGTTTCCCATTTTCACAGTAGCTGCACACAGGGCCAAATTTGTCATCAAGCTGTCCACTATGACACCAGGATCTCTTTCTTGCTCAGTCACTGCTAGCATATACTAAAAGCTGGGACTTTTTTTGCCCCAGCATCTGTTCAATGATATTTGTATAAATATTGGTATAAATATCTGTCTAAAGATATTTGGCCTGCATTTGTTGAAGCTTATGTATCTTTGATAGGTCTGAATTTATGGCCTTAGGTGGATATCCACATTTCAGCATTTGTGAATTTGGGGAGCGGGGTTCTCTTCTGCTGGCTTGTTTGGTTTGAGGGGGTTATTCATGTGATTCATTTTGTTTTGCTTTGGTCAATAAAAATAAATGGGGGGGGAAACCCAAGAAACTTCACAACAGCTCCATTCTTTGCAGGACTTTTTTGCTCTTGAATACCTTGCTGGAGATGATACCTTTCAGGTTGCATGTGCAAAGTAGCACCAGTTTTATTCTTCCACTGCTATATTCTACCCAGAAGGCTCGTGCATCTGGGAAAAGGTTGCAGCCGGGCTGGTTTTCCACATGCAGGGAATGTTTTGTATAGAGGAACATTCCATTTGGAGTCTTATGTGCATCCAGAGAAGAATTTAGAGAAGAAATATGCCTATGTGATGACTTCCCAGCCTATATGCATAAGCAAACTGCCACAAGGCTGCAAGTTTCCTCTGAAGAAAACTGATCCTTGACATCTCTGCCTTTCAAGAATATGTGGGAGAAAAATCCCTCTATCAGCCCAAATTAATGAATGGGACCTTATCTAAATCCTTCCCTTCTGGTTCCCTGTCATTAACATGGCTGGCCTGTTGCACCTGCCGCATGTCAGAGATGGAGAGCGAGCAAATTTGGCTGGAGTTTCTGGCAGTTCCTTGCAAGAGGATTTTGCAGAGAGAATCTCCACGGCTGCTGTTTTGACAAGGCCTGGAGTGCTGCCAGGACAACGGGGCTACGCGGGCAGCCGCAAACCCAGCCGTGTCGGCCTTGCTCTGACAGCAGGGAGGCAGACCTGTCCAAATGCCCTTCGCAACACTTTTTGAAGAGCTCCGGCTGCTGACTGCAAAAGTGAGATAGGGCAGCAGCGGAAATAGGTTTGGGTGGAAGCGACGCAAAGGACGTGGCATTTGCAGGCGCAGGAACAAAAGTGGCAGGTGTCACTAGTGCCCCGGACTCTTGACAGGAGCAAAACAAGCTCAGGAGAGGACAACCGTTCACTATTCACCAGGGATGCTCTCCCACGTGAACCCCAGTGAGCCGGATGTGGAAAGGAGAACACTACATGTTTCTTCTGGGTCTGAAAAGAGCGCTTTGGCTGCTGGGCAGTAGAGGAATTAAAAAATCAGTAACTAAAAACGGCACTGTGACCCACAAGCCTCTTCATAACCTTCTCCAGGTGCGCTCCTGGTGCGTGAGCCTAGAGCCCATCATCTCCAGACAGCACACTTTTCTTGACAGCTGCCTTTTCGGTACGGAAGTAGGGCAGCACAAAAGAGTTGTATTTCATGATATGCTCTTTGGATGGATCCCCTGCAAGTAGAAGCCCTTCCTTCCTCATTGCTCATGGGGGCTGTGTGTGCAGAGAACGTGGTCTCTGTTCCTGTGCAAGAACAAGGCCAGGACAAGCCTTTATTCCTGCTGTCACCCAGCAATGCCCTCCGGTGCATCTGGCAACCAGCACCATGCCGGGAGGCCTGGATGGCTCCATCTCACCTATTTTTGCCCCTGCCCCCAAAGCTGGCCCTTTTAAAAGAATAAGCTCTGTTGAGATGGAGCTCATTCAGAAGGCAGGTCCAGCCCTAAATGGTTTTCTGATTTGTGGTATGACACTGACATCAGAAATGGAGGACACGCTTGGACTAGACAAAAAAAAATCCGTCTCCTCCAAGGAGCGGTCATTTACACATTCCAGAATCCCATAAAATATGCACTTAGTTATCAGTTGCTCATTCCTCACAAGTCTTCCCAATTGGAGCTCAGTGGAAGCCAGAATGCTCATTCTCAGACCATCCTCTCTGCTAGAAACTCTGCATGTGCTCTGGAGCTCAAGACTCGGTTCACGCAGGTGGTGCATAATGTGGTAAGTTAGACGGACTGCATCCATTTCATCTGGAATTCTCTGTATCTCAGTGTAGCCTTCCCTTGTTTCTTCCTCCTTTCCTTTCCCCCCAAATATTCGGCTGCATAGTTTTAGAAGAGAATGTCCCACCAAAAGCACTTCCTATGTAAAGGACCACATCCTTAAAGTATCACCATCACCATCATCACATTGCATTTATATCCCACCTTTTTTCCTCTTGTGAGGAACTCAAAGTGGCTTACTCAGTTCCATTTTATCCTCACAACAACCCTGTGAGGTAGGCTAGGCTGAAAGCAAGTGGCTGGCACAAAGTCACCCAGTGAGCTTCATGGCTCAGTGGGGACTCGAACCCAGATCTCCTGAGTCCCGGTCCAGCTCGCTCACCACCAAACAGGTGGTGTTCTTAGGATTTTACAATAGGGTTTTGTGAGGCTCTGTCTTTTGGGGCTTTGGTAAAGGAAGTCAAACTACCTTGCTCTCCTTTGCTCCCCCGGGGCCAGGCCAGACGGACGGGTCCCTGGCCGCAGGGCTCAAATACCCCCACCCTTTTGGGCTCATCAGGAGCATGTCCCTGGCTGGAGGCTGCCTGCTGGTGACTCCTTTTGTGGGGGAGCCCCATAGGAGGGTTGTCTCTCAGTAAGGGATACTTTTCCCCCTTCCGCTGTCCCTGCTTCTCCTGCCTTGTGCCCTCGCTCTTTTTTGGCGGTGTGAAAGGGTCTGCAAAGGCACGGGGATGCGGCCTTCCACGCTTGCACACCGACACACAAACGCTCAGCGGGGAGGGGAGGGGAGAAGGATTCTGGCTTTGTGTCCTGCCCGAATTCAGGCAACAGGGCAAGATTTCCCTTTGCAGGACAGGCCTGTAAAATCCCACAGTTCGGCACACCCTGCACATCTCAGTGTCCTAGAGGAGGGGTGCCCTCTTGACACATGGCGTTTCTTGCACAGGAGGGTCCCTTCCGCCACGCAAACTCGCCCATCCGCTTTGCCTTCCACATGAATAACATTCAAGCTCCCACCTTCCCCCCACCACCCCCGGTGCACTTTGTGCTGGATGACCTCCCATCATCCCCACCCAACTAGGAGTGATGGGATGTGTAGTCCAGCCCACCTGGAAGGCAGCAGGTTGAGGGAAGTGTGCATGGGTTCGAGAAAGAGGGAATGGCTCACCTCTGACCCCTTTGCTCCCTTTGGAACTTGCCCCGGTCCCTGAAAGGAAAAGACAAAGTACTGGATCTGGGAGCCCAAGTCGAGGTCGTGGCCCCTGCCCTGGCCGTGGCCGCAGCTCCATCTTGAGGACCAGGACCGGACTGGCAGGTAGGTTTGCGCTCCTGTGAAGGAAGGTGTCCCGCGTACGGGTGCCCAAACGTTCCCCAGCCACGGGCACCCGCGCCACGGGCCTGATCTCTCAACTGCACCCGCCGGCATTCCGGCAGTGTGTGGGAACTGGAGGTGTGTCCTGGGCCGCACCACCAAGGGGTTCCCCAAGAAGGTGCTCTGTCCCAGGTCGGCTGCTCTGGCCGATTCAAAGAGGCTTGTTAGGAGGAAGGGACTCCTGAGCTGGAGGGGGAGAGAGCAGAGAGGGAAGCAGCAGAAGGAGGAGCTGGAGAGAAAGGGCAGGGCTGGGAAGCCGAGAGGAGCAGCGAGAGACCGGGCTGAGTGGGGAAGGGGGCGAAGGAAGGGGCAAGGGGCAGAGAAAGGGAAAGGGACGGCTGTGAGAGGAGAAAGGGAGAGAAGGTGCAGGAGAAAAAGATCTGTGTGGATGGGAGAAGATTTGGCAGGGCCCCAAAGCCAGCCTTTCCTTCTCTTCTTGCAGTCAAACAGCTGATCAGTGGCAGGAAGGAGAGCCGGGCACCTTGCGGGCTTTTCCTCCGAGCTTTTAAAATTACAGAGAGCAAGAAGTGGAGAGCTCTGCGGGTGCCAATGCTCTGGCTACCTTTAGCCTAGGGGGAGCGGAACATGTCCAGAAAGACGGGAGCAAATGGCTCCGCCCCAGAAAGAGCCCTGGGCAGCCCCACAGAATCTCCAAAGGGCTGGCTGGAACATGAGGCCCCGAGGTCCCGAGCCCTGCGAGCATCACAGCAGAGGCAAGTATTGCCTCGGATCCCCGGGAAAGGGCTCGGGGGGTGCCTGGTTGAAGTGCGCCATCAGGAAGATGCCAACGGTTCCGAAGATGAGGACAGAGGCCATGACGAGGAAGCAGATGCGGTCGATTACCCTCCCCACCAGGATCCACTCCTCGTTCTCCTGCAAGGAAGGAAACATAGAAACAAAGAGAGTCAGAAGGGACCTCCTGGGCCATCTAGTCTGACCCCCGGCTCCAGCCAGCTCCACTCACGACATGCCCACCATGTGGACGTCCAGCCTGTCCTTGAACACCCTCACCGATGGGGCCTCAACCACCTCCCGTGGAAGCCCATTCCACACTCTCGGGGTCCTAACTGTCAGGAAGTGCTTCCTGGCATCTAAATGGAACTTTGGTTCCTTGAGCTTGTGAGGATACACAGTTTCTAAGCTGTGGAGGTGCACCAAGGAGTGCAGTGTAAATGGGGTGCAAATGAGGTGTCGGGGGGGACCCTAAAAAGTCCACAGACCGCCCTCGTTGCACCAGCCTGATCCTGGGGGAGCTCAATTGCAACAGCCCTGCCTTCTCACCAGCCCGGAAAACGTGGAGGAAGAATCTTGATGGCTTTCAAGGGGCACAGATAGGCTAATGGGCAACTAGGAAAATAGGATATTTGAAAATAGGGGGTTTTTTTTCAACCGATCCTGGTGAGGCTGTGGCTATACTGAACCGGTGCCTGGCCAAGGTAATGGGCTGGATGAGGGCCAATAAACTGAAGCTCAATCCAGACAAGACGGAGGTCCTGTTGGTGGGTGGATCGAGCTCCTGGGTAGGTGACTTGGGCCTTGCCCTGGATGGGTTGCACTCCCTCTAAAGGACAGGGTCTGCAACTTGGGAGTGTTCCTTGACCCAGAGCTGTCCCTGGAAGCTCAGGTGACCGTGGTGGCGAGGAGCACTTTCCTTCAGCTTCGGTTAATCCATCAGCTGCGTCCCTACCTGGAGAATGATTGCCTAGCGACAGTGACACATGCATTGGTTACTTCCCGGTTGGATTTCTGTAACATGCTCTACGTGGGGCTGCCCTTGAAGACGGTCCGGATACTTCAGATGGTGCAAAATAGAGCTGCCAGGTTGCTGACGGGGACTGGGCATTATTCTCATATAACCCCAGTCCTCTATCAGCTTCACTGGCTTCCCATCGAAGTCCGGGCTCAGTTCAAGGTGCTGGTTATCACCTACAAAGCCCTTAATGGCTTGGGACCTGGATACCTGAAGGAACCCCTTCTTCCATATTTGCCCTCCCGCCCCCTGAGATCGGCAGCAGAGGCCCTCCTCCAGGAACCCTCTGTGAAAAACGTTAGGCGACAGAGTACCTGGAGGAGGGCTTTCTCTGCGGTGGTGCCCCACCTATGGAATGCGCTCCCCAGAGAGGTCTGCCTGGCACCATCGTTATTTGTTTTTCGGCACCAGGCTAAGGCCTTTTTTTTTTTATTTTATTTTGGAACCTTTTATTCCAACAATATTTTAATAACTTTTAACACTGGTTTATATGTGTTTTTAACTGCAGCCAGGGTGGATCTGTAATTCATTTGTATTATGTTTTATATTATTTTATTTATGTAAGCTGTCCTGAGGCCTCCACGACAGGACGGCATATAAATATTCTAAATAAATAAATAAATAAATAAATAAATAAATCGGACTTAGGAAAATGGAAAATAGGATGCCTGAAATGCATTCAAAATGCTTGTCCTTGATGCTCCCTCCGTTTTGCACAAGCACCGCGGGAGGCAGCAGTCCGGCTGGGTGAAGAGGGCCCAAGGAACCCGGGCTGCACTCACGCTGTCAAAGTCGCTTTTCTCCTGCAACGTTTTAGTGATGTGGTTGCAGGCATCTACGCAGGCCTGGATTTCCGGGGCGGCATGGCGCAAGCTGCTGCAGAAGTCCTGTGGGCAGCCGTTCTCCAAGCCTTCTCCTGGGAACGAACGTGGGGACATGGGGAAGTGTTAAGGACGCAGAGGAAGCAATGTCTTGCCCAGGTCCTAAAGAGTCCCTAAAGCATGTGCAAAGGACAAAGTGTGCTCTAATGCTGGGCAATGTGTTGTAAACTGTGATCCAGAGCCTACAGGTGAACGTTGGTGTGAGCAGACCCCATGGACCTGAAGAAGATCTGAAAGAAATAACACTGCCGACGTTGCCTGCAAATATTGCAGAAGCAAGTCCCTGAAAGATGAACTGAACATCAGCTTATCTTTTCTGCACTGCAACTGAGTGCAGAGAGACATTTCAAAGAAGGGTCTGTACACATACAGAAGTCCTTTGTATCCTGACTAGAGGGAAGAAACACAGGAGTTAAACTTGGAGGTAGGAGAGATGCAAGCGCCCTGCTTCTCCATGACAGATGGAATGCATGGAAACATTACACGGGACAGAATGGGTTGTCAGCACACGCAGGCTTGTGAGGTGCGGTCTATCAGGGTCTGATCTAGATTCAGGGTAAGACTGTCATACTCTGGCCATGTCATGAGAGCTGACTCACTCGGAAATCAGTCATGCTGGGGGTGGTCAGTGGAAAAAGGAGAAGGGGCCGCCCCAGCACCCGTTGGCTGGACGCCACGAAGAAAGGCATGGGGACGGACATGGAGGCCTTGAAGGAAGCGGTGCGAGTCAGAGAGGCATGGAGAGCAATGATCCAAAGAGTGGCCAAGGGTTGGACATGACTGAATGGTTGACGGTGATGACGATCAGGGTTCAGAATCTATCAAGGTTCGCTCTAGATTCAGGCACAGGTAACTGGACTCCTTGGCCTGTTCCCTCCCACCTTCCAGTGCCCTAAAGGTGCTACACAGAAGATCAGGAGATGCTGCTGCACGGACTGCATATCTGTGATATGCAGGGGAAAGCGGATCCTGTTAGGGTGGGCGGATCCTGGCTCCTGGTTCCTTGGCCTTTAAGGAAGCGTGACACAGCGTGATTTTGCTGCCACGGACTATCCTAAGAGGTATCCACTCAAAGGGCTTTGCTGATAGTCCAGGCCCTTGGGATGCAAGTCACGCCCTGCAGGGTGTTGCCTGGTGCAGCAGAAAAGCCCGGAAGAGCTAGCAAAAGCAGAGCCGCAAATGCACCTTGGCCAGCCGTGCTAACGCTGCTTCGGGCTGCCTGCCCCTTCCCTGCGTGCATGGCCGCCCAGTTCCTTCTGCAGCAGAACTGGAACGAGCAGCCACTGTGGGCCTGTGCCCTCTATGACAGCCGGCTCCAAACCCTCAGAAGCGACAGACTACAAGCCCCACCTGCCCAACTGGCAGGGATGATGGGTGCTGCAGCCCAGCACATCTGGAAGGCGCCTGGGTGGAGATGTCTGCTCGAAAAAGAAATGTTGCTGGGGAAGGTTAGGGAGCACAAGGCACCCCATTCTATCTCTTCCCTTCTCAGCATGGCTGCCTTCCCCAAGCGGGCTCCCTCCGGGGTTGGGCCACAACTCCCAGAATCCCCCAGCCAGCTCTGGCTCTGGAAGCTGCAGTGGAACACCCTGGAGGGGGTCGGCCCGGGGAGGGCGGGGACCAGCCAGCAGGGCAAGGGAAAGCCGCTCACGTGTCTTGGCCAGGAGAACCTTCATGAGCCCCGCTCGCTCCTTCTGCTTCTCGAAGAGGAGCTCGGTCCGCGCCTTCCACAGCATGTACTCGTCGGCTTTTGCCATGAACCCCAGCGAGCTCCGCCGACGGACGAGTTGGTTCGGGACGGGCGCGTTGCTGCGCCTCATGTGCATGCCCAGGTAACGCGGCACCAGCCGCAGGAACACCTGGGAAGGGGGAGGCAGAAACGCAGCCGCTGCTGCTCATGAGAACATCCCTGGGTTACACGCCAAATGCGCATTAGCAGTGCAGAGGCGGTCATGAGAGGAGGCATGCTGGGAAAAGGTTGGGGATCCTGGGCAATGAGTTCAAGGTTTCCAAATGGTCAAAGATGCTGTTTAATTTGTGATAACAACATTGGTACAATTATTACAGAGTATTGTTATTACTAAACTTAATTGTTAAAGGCCTAACAGATGACACACCCTGGTCTGTCCACAACAATCCATAGATATAGTTGCAAGAGTGAAAAACGAATGATAAATCCAAAGTCAATAAAATGCAGTATGGAGTTGCTTGCAAAGTTGTGCTCGCTCTCTCTCTCTCTCTCTCTCTCTCTCTCTCTCTCTCTCTCTCTCTCTCTGCATTTGCAATCTGTTGTCTGCTCACTTTTTACAGAGCCTCTGCACCACTGGAGGGGACAATCATACTAGGGAAAGGCAAGGGCAGAAGAAAAAGAGGAAGACCAAGTGCAGGATGGATCGACTCCATCAAGGGAGCCCCAGCCTGGAGTTGACTGCAGTTGATCAGGGCTGTCAAAGATGGGGCATTTTGGAAGGCCTCTGTTCACAGGGTCACCATAAGTCAGGGACAATTTGATGGCACATCTCAACAAGAGCTGTATCATTAAATGGGAGGGTTGGAGGACCAGTTTGAGGCTTTCGCTCCCCTTTTGGTTTTGCCTCCCGGCAACCAGCCCTGTTGTCCTTGACTGAAAGGGCCTGGCAAGGCGGAACAGGAAAGGAGGGCTGAAGGCTGAAGAAGGTTAGAGCCCAAGTTTGCAGGCTCAGAATGACCACAAGGTGCAGCGTGCAGGTAACTGACCCTGGGGCCTGGATGATTCCAGGTGGCCGAGGCAGCATCTTCTGGAGAACTTACCTGTCGGACTCGCTGGGACATCGAGTGAGTATTGGGGGTCCTCAGGGACACATTGAGTACAATGACAGCGTTCACGACTATGGTGACTGTGATGACCATGAGGAAAGTTAAGTACCTTCGGGGAAGAGAGAAAGGGAGCCCTGGTTAGCTGCTGTTGAGAAGCCTTTTGGTCAAGAGTGCTGAACCGCCGGCTCCCCTCCAGGGACCCCCTTTCCCCGGTCCCAATCCTTGGGAAGTTTAGCAACTTCGGCACGGTTTTGCTCCCTGCTGAAAAGTTGAAATGCCTCTGCCAAGTCACAGTTACTGCTGTATGAGATTTAAAGTGGAGATACCCCCTCCTCTCTTGCCCCACCCCTTTTCCCTTGGGCCCCGCCCACCACTGACCTGCAAATTTCCTGAAATTGAATTTGGCCCCTGGCCTGAGAGGGGCCCATGCCCCTTCCTTCACTGGCCACAGCCTGGACCGGCAGGCCACTCGTCCACTTCCATAGACTGAGACCAGGGCGTGCTCAAGTCCTGCCACCCCGTAGCCTTGGGAGGGGCTGTCCTTCTTGGTGTGCTAGTTTTCTTTTTGCCCTTTGAGTGCCTCCTCCTTGATTTGAGCAGGTGGATGATCCTTAACTGAGAAAACACTCCGCATGGTTTGCACATGCTGTGTGGCACAGAGCAAAGCACTGGAGTCTGCAGAAAGCTTCCAGAAAGGGGTTTCTCCCACCCGGGAGGCGGTGTCAGCGACAACCACACATGGAACAAGCAGCAGAGAGAGTGGGCTGCAGTCCTTTGGTGCAGGTTCTCAAGGAACTTGAGCCCGTTATTCCATGTCCTGCACTCTGGGATGATCGAGAAGAGATCCTGGCCCTTCTTTTTGTGGCAACCTTTCAAGTACTTGCAGAGCGCTATCTTATCTCCCCTCCATCTTCTCTTCTCAAGGCTAAACTTGCCCAGCTCTTTCCATCTCTTCTCAAAGGGTGTTTTTCCAGTCCCCAGATCATCCTTGTCGCCCTCCTCTGAACCCTTCCCATCTTGTCTGCACCTTTCTTCAATGGTGGTGCCCAAAACTGAACACAGGACTCCAGACGAGGCCTGGCCAGTGCTGAGCAGAGGGGAACTTCATGTGATTTGGAAGCGATACTTCTATTAATGCAGCCCAGAATAGCATGTGCCCTTTCTGCAGCAACATCGCATTGGTGACACATTTTCAGCTTGTGATCTACAACAATCTCACATTCCTTCTCACCTGTCATATTGTTGAACCAAGCATCCCCCACCTTGCAACTGCACCTTCGGTTCCCTTTTCCTAGGTGTAGAACTTCACATTTGTCCCTTCTGAATTGCATTCTGTTGCTTTCAGCTCAGCACACCATCCTATCAAGATCACTTGGAGCTTTGATATTAGCCACTTAGAGTTAGTTGTGATATTTTGCATCATCTGCAAACCTCTTAATCCGAGCTGTTAATAAAAATGCTGAAGAGCACTGGGCCCAGGACTGAGCCCTCTCCCCAGTATGAGAAGGTGCCATCGATGAGCCCTCCTTGAGTCCAAATCTGTAGCCAACTGCAGATCTACCCCATAGCTGTTGCTTCTAGCCCATTTTAGCTAATTTGTTCTTCGGAATGTCATGGGGCACTTTGTTAAAAGCTGAGACATGTTGGAAGTTGCAGGATGTTTTTCTGATTCAGCTTGCGTAGGATTGCAGCCCATGTCGCACTCAAAGTAGAGAAACTACTGCCTAAGCACACCTAGGGTAGTTCTGTGAACGTCTAAAAAGGCATCTTTTTGAAGGGGATCAATATTAGTAAAATGCTCCCTAGAGGACACAAGCCAGACAGAGCCTGTTTTTCCGGCTTTGTCAAGAAATGCTTACTTTCCAATGAGTGGCACAGCCTGCGATGTTTCAGGAACCTTTTTCGCTATCAGGAAGAGGAAAACAGTCTGAGCTAGAAGGACATTGATGGAAACGGTGCACTTCTGTCCACCAGCTGTGGAGACAAGAAAGCAAGCGATCGACTCGGGTGGAGGGCAGGGCAGAGGAGCACGGAAAGGTCAGCGAGTGATACTTGGCGAGGAAGAATTCTGTCTTGCTTGTTCAGGCAACACCTTAGCCCATCTGATCCCAGCAATGCTATGCCCTTACAAAAATGGAGGTTTGGTCCAGCAACATGCACCTGTTAACACTCTTCTCAGCAACTGATATTCAGGAACTTTAGACATGGCATCAGTGCATTCTACACTGAAAACAGTGCCCCTTCCAGTCCCCCTTTTTTCGTCCCCAGAAGCAAAGGTGTCAACTGGCTGGAAGCTTTTCTTGAACCCCTCCAATTCAGTTCACCCTTCCACTGGGAGAGTTAAGGAGAACACCTGATGGCTCAGATCAAAGGCCTGCCAAGTCCAGCACCCTCTGTCCCATAGTGACTGACCCGGAACCCCCAGTGGGAAGCCCACACAAAGGTAAGAGTGCCCCTCCCCTGCAGCTGCTCCCCCACCTTTGGCTTTCAGAAGCAGGTGGCCTCTGGCAGCACCATATCACCTTCATGGCAGGTAGTCACTGAACCAGCCACGTTTGGCCAGCAACCCTTTGCTTCAGCAGCTCTGGTTGCCGGCCTGCTTCCCACTGTCGTCTCTTTCTATCCTCTTGGCCTGTCGAGCAATCTGTGTGCTACCTTGCCAGAAACGTCGCCACAGCGGTGTGCAAAGACCCGGATAATCACACTAATACATAGCAGCATAAAAGCAACCAAGTCATCTGAAAACATCGAAACACACTGAGGCCAAGAGGGAAGACTCGAAGTGGATCGGGGTGCAACGTCCTTATGTTCAAAGGGCCCTTTGGTCTGCACGTGCTGAGCCTCGCTCAGCTTGAAGCTGAACCCCATTTCAAGGGGGTCAGCACTGCCTCTCTTTAGAAGGACCGGAGACATGCTAAAGCAGAGAATCCACCAAGCAGTTGGGGTTGGTGCCAAAGAAGATAGCATGACCATCTGTGGAATGAGGGCCAGATTTGCCCCATGCACCTAAGGTTCTGCATCACTGTTCCAAACTTAATTTCTGGGTCCTGAAAAGAGCACCACCTGACTAAGCCTCTCTGTGATTCCCATTTGGACACAGGGGATCCTTGCTTTGCTAAGAACTTTTCCACGTGAGCCTCTTAGTCTGCTGCATGTGGCCTTGGTTTCACCAAGAATAAGGATCGGAGTGTGATGCAAAGAACATTTCCTTCCTTGCTGTTCTGCCACATAACCTCTAGGTGGCACTGCAGTATAGCATAATCGCACATGTAGAAATAAAGTTTTCTTCCACTTTCTTTTCATAATAGCACATTTTCCCTGCTCTTCAAAAAAGAAAAGTGTGGGAAAAATGTAAAAATGAACCCTTGAGAGATCATATTATCCAAGGCACGCCTATTTCGTGCTTCAGCGGTTTGACAGTAAACAAGCTTGTGATGGTTTCATTCGTCAAACTAACTGTTGCCACACTGTGGCCCAGAAAATGTGCTCTATTGCCGGGCTCCTGAGACAGGCCGGATTTCTCTTCCCTAGCACTTCTCAAGGTCTGTCCCGTTAATAATGGGGAAGGAGGCAGAGCTTATCAGCCATGGGGCCAAGCAGACTGCAAGTTTGATGCGGGATATGCTTAACTCCTTACTGGATCTCTGAGACCCATCAACGGAAGACAAGGACAAAAGACCGATGTTGAGAATTAAGGATTCTGAGCCCAGGAATTTGTGTACAGAGCCTAACTGAGTTCATGGTCCTTCCACAGACAAATCTCATCCTGGTTACTCCAGGTCTTTTCCCATTTTTGCAGTATAATTTGGAGATGGGGGAGTCTTTTGTTGTTGAACTTTGAGGAGCCAGAATTGCTGATCTACTGCAATTTGCAGGTTAAACCATTTGCAATTTGCAGGTAAAACTCACCTGTAGATCCAGACCTACACGGTTTCTGCTGTCCCTTGATTTATCAAACTGCTAAACTTTTCAGTGAGGGAATGGCTACAACCACCCTGGAAATTTGGGGCATAGAGAGCAATGTATGGCATTAAATCTGTAGAGGCTGCCAAATGCACATCCAGTTCAGATGTTTAATGGAGACATCTTAACCCTTTGTGGTGAAGTGGGAAGAGTGCTAGACTGGGACTTGGGATGCCGAAGTTCAAGTCCCTGCTTGACCATGAAACTCACAGACCCTCAGTCTAACCTGCCTCACAGGGTCGTTGTTGTGGAGATGAAATGCAGAGGAGAAGAATCAGCTGCGCCACCTTGTGTTCTTTGGACAAAATGGGATGCACGCTATAAATGCAAAGTGCTCCTTGACATATTAACCCGCAGGGTAGTAAAAATGAAAGGAGAAAAGGAGAGGGTTTCTGTATGCCACTTTGGGTTTCTCAAGAGGACAAAAGGTGGGATATAAATGCAATCAATAAATCAGCATCACCATTGTAATTAAGGAAAGATAAGATGCTCCCATGGGGGCAGCAGGATACGGACCCTTGGCCGGCAGAAAGTACACTACCACAGCGACCGAGGAGATCAGCACACACGGGATGATGATGTTGATGATATAGAACAGCGGCTTCCTCTGGATGACCAGGAAGAAAATGATCTGCTGGTACCCGATATCATCTGGTGTGGCACGTCCGACATTCACGACCTTCTTGGCTGGCCGGTGCTTAATTACCCATTCCCCGTTCTCTGTAGGAGGAAGACAGAACCACACAGGCGTGAGTGAAGCCACTGACAGAACCTGGCCACTTAGAGCCCCCCCCCCCCCATGGCTACCCTAATCCAAAGCCAGGCTGCCCTCCTTGGCCCAGTGGAGCCTGCAGCAGAGGGCGGTGGAGGCCACTGCCAGAGTTCCACACATGAGCTGATGGGGAAATGAATTTACGCAGTGCCCCTCCAGGGACTTCGCTGTCCTGTTTGGCCTGGGAGCCTGTTGAGTTTAGGAAAGGCAAAGCAGAGACCCTGAGCAAAGTCCTAAAGTGCAAGATCAGGACTGAGAGAGCCAAAGCCCTGTGGATAATATCCCCGTCGTCACGGCAAGAAGCCGTTCTTCCCAGGGCCAGGTTGCCTGCAGGGGCCTGCTTCTCGACTTGCATCCCTGGGGGAATTCAGTCAGATGCTGGCATCCAATGGAGTGGAGAGGCGATTCTGCCAGGTGCTTGGACTCCAAAGGGCCCAGCGTTCCTGCTGCTAGGAAAGCCCATATTCGCTCTCTCAGTCACTCTCTCCCTCACTCTTTCTCTCTCCCTCGTCCAGCTGCAAAGTGAAGCCATGCATGGCCACATTATTAAGCGGGTGTTTGTTTTTCTGTCCCCCCCAACACTTGGCGTTGGTCAGAGCGATCTCTCTTTAACAACATAAATAAATGGGGTTGTCCCACTGATGAAAAACAAAACACCTTTTGCTGAAAGAGAAGAACGGTGCACCTTCAGCATGCCATGAAGGCCTGACGGAGAGTCATTCTCCGGATGACTGAATTCCTGGATCACTCAGCTTTGATGCAACTGCTGGCTTGACGAGTGGCCAAGAGTGAAGGATGCCATGCAAGGGAGGAAACAAGCTTGGCCCGTTCCTTCCTTTATAACCAGAGCATCCCTGGAAGAGGCGGGCAAATTTTGGAGGTTGTTTAAGGCAAAGCTAGCCCATCATGGGAGTTGTAGGTAAAATGTGATAAATGGGAAATGGGAAGTCCATTCCTAGGTCTGGGGTTCCATAAATCTTGAGGACGGGATTTTGTGCCAGCGTGTTTAAATAATGAAGCATGCTATTCCAGCATTCTCTCACCAGCACTGCTGGGAATCATTAGCCCCACTTTGTATTTTTGAACTAAATACTCCTAGAATTGTAAGCCGTCCAGAGACGACAGTAATGGGCGGCCTACAAAATTTCTAAATAAATAAATAGAATTGTGACTTAAATCCAGCTGGTGTGTGCTCATAATTGTAGGCCTTCTTTCTGTCTAAATGTGGGCAGGATTGCATCTAAAGCTTTTTCCCAGGCAAAGAGTGTTCTTCGTGCTAGCAATCAGGCTGCCTTCTGCACCTCTTCTGGCTTTTTCTCCACAACAGATTTTCTTTGTTGAGGAAAAAGTTAGAAGAAGGGCTAAAAAAGAACACGAGAAGGTCACGGGTAGCAGATGGCAACATCTGGATACCGCTGCAAATTTGGGCATTCCTCTAGCTGATGGGCAAGCATAGGCTGTCGTGAAACAGTTCCCCAATGGAATCATTTCGCCCGCAGTGTGATTGCCTACGCCAGTGCCAGGAAACTTGTGCCTGATGCTTGGTTTGCAATGTCGGTGCCAGCAATGCTTTTTATCCTGCTAATGTCCCTGGGATTCCATAAAGCTCTGTCATTTTCTAAAGGGGGGGGGGGGGGGGAGAGAGAGAGAGAGAAGAAAAGAGATTCTTCTCTCATAACATTAGAAGTCAGGAGAGCTGTCCAAACAAGTTAGCAGGAAGTGCCTGGTCCTGCCTGATCTTGGATGCTAAGCAGAGGTGGGCCTGGTTGAAATCTGGATGGGTGACTTGAATCCTGCATTGAGCAGGGGGTTGGAGCCGACGGCCAGATAACTGGGAAGGCGCTCCGCAGAGGAACCAGGCTGCCACGGCTGAGAGCATGACACGGACCTCAGTCAGCCCTTGGCCCTTCCCATCTCCCCGTCCTGAGAGCCTTCTTCTGGGCTGCATGAGGACCTGGATACTCTCCCTGCTTTCCTCTTCCTCTGGGATCGATGCAGGCACAGCTACCTGTGAAAGCTGCAGGGTCAATCACAATCCACTCAATGGTCTCATTTTCAACTGTCAACAGCAGGTTGATTTCATGGGCATTGTAGGTCTGGGACCTGCAAATACAGGAGCAGCAGGTAAGGTCAACCCATCCCAAAACAAGGCGCACATCACAGAGTCACAGAATCACAGAATAGTAGAGTTGGATATCAAAGCTGAGATCGTCAGGACCTTCTTGCCTGCCTCCCTCCCCTTCTATGAGCTGAACTGTTTCAACCAATAGCAGCCCCAGGAACCCAGCCAGACCTCCCATAAGCCCCCGGCCAATCAGCCAATCGCTGCCCAGAACCCAGAGAGGTCATCCCATGGAGCTAACTGGTGGGAAAAAGGAAGTTGTTCTTCTCATGGTGCAAAATTACTGCTGCATTCACTCCCATGAGATGTACATATGGCCACCCATTTGGATGGCTTTGAAAGGGAATGGCTCAAATTCAAATTCATGGAGAAGGAAACTAGGAAGGATTACTGGTCCCAACTTGGAAGGGGCGGAGCTTCTTGTAGGATGCTGTCAGAGGGATCCAGCTGGTTTTCTCCTGAGTGAACAGAATGCTGGACTCCCTGATCAAGTCCAACATGGCATTTCTTATGTTCTTACCTATCCAGTTCTGTGGCCCAGCTTGCAAAAGCAACCATTAAATACTATAGTTCTTTTAACCTGTTGCTAGATTTTAAATAGGTTTGTTATTGCATGGTAGTTTTATGGTTTGAAATAGTTTCATGGCACCTTGATAGCTTTTTGTTTGGTTGATATTTTAGCATAATGTTGGGAACATTCGTTATGAGCAGATTAGAAATCTAGGGAGTCCGTAAGGCTGCAATCCTATGCAAATTCAGGCAGGAAAAGAGAATACGTAGGATTGCACCCTGCTGTAATTCATGCATTCGTTCATTAAGAGCAAAGACTCACTGGAAGACCAGAGAGCAGTTTTGCCAGTCAAAGGGGAAATAGGTGACGATGATCGAGCAGACGCTGCGGTAGATGGCAGGGGGAAGCCAGGTGATGTTGCCGGTGGGGGAGAGCAGAACGTTGGTATACAGGGCAACATCAAACACCCCATCGATGCTGTGGAGAAGAAGGAGGACATGAGATCAGGAAGGCCAGATGCTCCCTTCCCATGGAGCCCCGGAGACAAGCTGCCCTGTCCTCACCAAGGAAACATCTTTCGCTTCTTGCCCTGTGAAGATCAGTTCTGATCTCCTGGAAGACATTCCCCCGCAGGCCTGCCCTTGAGCAATTAATTGCTCTCTCCTGAAATTTATCTGCTCCTGACACCATTTCTCAAACCTTTTGAACTCAAGCTAGGTGCCTGAGTTCCTCTACCGATTGGCGCAAAACTATGCTGAATCCTCACAGGGCATGGCGCACATGCGCCCCATGGCAATGTGGGCCAGGGCGGTTGGGCTGAGGGGCTGATCCAACCTGGTGGATCCAACAAGCCACTCAGAATTCCTCCAACTCATCACCATTGATAGAACCAGAGGTCCAGGGCTTTGGACAGCTGCCCCTTGTGTTGGGGTACCTGAAATGCTGGCTGAATATTTTGACTGGGCCCCAAAGGGTTTGGCCGCCCCCGCCCCCAGGTTGGCCAATGGTTGCCTTTAGCAGTGCGGGGGGGGGGGTATAGGCCCTAGATCAGTGGTTGAACCCGGGCTTATTTCTTTTGTTTCTGCTTTCCCAGAACATCTTAAGAAGCAACGCCCAAAAGTTCTTGCCTGCTTCAGTGGACACTCCATGAACAGGGCCTTCCATGGCAGGAACAAGTGGGTGCTGGTGGCTCCAATGTCAGTGGGGCAGTGTATCCATTCCAGATTTTAGTCTGAACTTCTAAGGCTCTCTCCATGGTGCTGAACCCTATTGCCAAAATAGGCTCAAAATTATGGAGAGCTCCTTTAGAGTTCAGTCTGAAACCCAGACGGAACTCTACACCTCCCCACTGACCTGGTAGCCCTCAGCCACTCTTCCTGCAGTTACTTTTTTCCAGAGGGGTTTTTTGGAGAGGGGGTGGGGTATGAAAAGTTCCTGGGTAACAGCGGGAGTGTGGACGAGAGACCTGGACAGCTGAGCACTTTGGGAACTTAAGTTTCTAGTGGAAGAACTGGTTTTATCCAATCAAAACAGGCTCCAGACCTCCAAAATGCTTTGGGGCAGAAGTTGGACTTGAGTATGCATGTAAAGTTGACCGGTTCTATGAAGGCCTACAACACCTTCTAGAATTAACACCCAAAAATGATGTCCTTATCATCATGGGGTATTGGAAAACTAAAGTAGGAAGCCAAAAGATAACTGGAATAACACGCACATTTGACCTTGGAGTACAAAATGAAGCAGGGCACAGGCTGGTAGAATTTTGTCAAGAGAATACGATGGTCATAGCAAACACTCTTTTCCAACAACCCAAGAGACGACTCTACACAAGGACCTCACCAGAAGGTCAACACAAAAATCAGATTGACTATGTGCTCTGCAGCCAAAGATGGAGAAGCTCTATCCAGTCAGTAAAACTAGACCAGGAGCTGACTGCGGCTCAGATCATGAGCTTCTGGTTGCGAAATTTAAGCTTAAATTGAAGAAAGTAGGGAAAAGCACTAGGCCACTCAGGTATGACCTAAATCATATCCCTGATGAATATACAGTAGAGGTGACAAATAGATTTAAGGGATTAGATCTGATAGACAGAGTGCCTGAAGAACTATAGAAGGAGGTTCGCAACATTGTACAAGAGGTAGCAACTAAAACCATCCCAAAGAAAAAGGAATGCAAGAAAGCAAAATGGCTGTCTGAGGAAGCTTTACAAGTAGCTGAGGAAAGAAGGGAAGCGAAAGGCAAGGGAGAAAGGGAAAGATACACCCAATTGAATGCAGAATTCCAGAGAATAGCTAGAAGAGATAAGAATGCCTTCTTAAATGAACAGAGCAAAGAAATAGAAGAAAACAAGAGAATAGGGCGGACCAGAGATCTCTTCAAGAAAATTGGAGATATGAAGGGAACCTTTCATGCAAAGATGGGCATGATAAAGGACCAAAATGACAGGGACCTAACAGAGGCAGAAGAGATTAAGAAGAGGTGGCAAGATTCCACAGAAGAACTATACAAGAAAGGGCTTAACGTCCCTGAGAACCACGATGGGGTGGTCACTGACCTCAAAGCAGACATCCTGGAATGTGAAGTCAAATGGGCCTTAGGAAGTCTGAGCAACAACAAAGCTAGTGGAGGCAACAGTATTTCAGCCGAGCTATTCAAAATCTTAAAAGACGATGCAGTAAAAGTGCTACACTTAATATGCCAGCAAATTAGGAAAACTCAACAGTGGCCACAGGATTGGAAAAGGTCAGTTTACATTCCAATCCCAAAGAAGGGCAATGCCAAAGAATGTTCAAACTACCACACCTTTGCACTCATTTCACATGCTAGCAAAGTTATGCTCAAAATCCTACAAGCTAGGCTCCAGCAGTACGTGGACCGAAAACTACCAGAAGTACAGGCAGGATTTCGAAGAGGGAGAGGAACTAGAGATCAAATTGCCAACAAAACCTGGATCATGGAGAAAGCTAGCAAGTTCCAGAAAAACATCTACTTCTGCTTCATTGACTATGCTAAAGCCTTTGATTGTGTGGATCACAACAAATTGTGGCAAGTGCATAAAGGGATGGGAGTA